TTCTGTGCGCCGCATGTAATTTTGATTTGAAATCCTCCACTCCGTGAGGGCTATATAAACAGATTGAGTAGAAATGAGATGGCATTCGTGAGTTTTTCGAGCATTGTGTTCGAAAGTGTACAATCTTGTCTTCATTGAACATTTGCTCAAATGAATTTTATGCACTCTCGTTCATGCAGTGCACACAACTGCTACGTAATCAATGCGAATACGAATGTGATGGAGTAAACGAGGCGAAAAATGGAGCTATCGTGATAGGAAATTAGTTGACAAATGGTCGTCAAACGGTCACATGGGAAATATACAACTGACTTTATAACCAGGATAACAGAATCAATGAGCTCTTACTTTGAGCCTTTCGCCATTCAAATTCTCAATTCACATTATGAGTCGTTCTCACTGCGACTTCAACTCAAAATATTCAAAGTTGAATGGAAATGCACGAAAAAAATGTTATCGCTTGCGTTATTGAGTTTTGAAATGAGGAGAACAGAAATCGAACGAGTTAAGCAATTCTCAAATGCGGATGTTTTGGTGTGTGTGTGTGTGTCTTTTTATTTTTGGTTGAAATGTGTGCGAAAAGGAAAGTTATATATATGATGTTTTGTTTCGGCGAATTGGCTGGTATTTTCCTCGATTTGAGCTTCTAATGTGTCATTTTTTTCCACATGAGTTGGCGTTCATTCATTCCTTCATTGGGCTGACGCATGCTTTTCCATCGGGGCGAAATGAGAGGAAAATCCAGTGTCGTGTACATTTTTGAAATCGTGCATCCATTTGGAGAAACAAATTTTGCCCCATGCTTCTGGAGTCATGGCACATCTTGATCGATTCTTGTGCGTTCTTCCCGCTCCAAAAAATATGAAACTGTTCAGAAATGAATGAACATACACAATTTAATTGTTTGCATTGGGAAAAAGTTTGGCAGAAAAAGTCGAAAAGACGCGCAATGTGGTGAGTATTGACAGCTGTCTAAATAACGTCACTCAAAATGACGCATGGTGTTTTTCGAACAGGCTAGCAGGATATGCAAGCAGGATCGTCGACATTGTTTTGATACCATACACAAACACACAAAACATAATACAACCGAAAGCAAATCAAACAATTTCACGACGCAATCACACACACATACGCTCTCCAGTTTATGAACGTTCATTGAGGGGTTTCCTTGCACGAAACTCATTTCAAAATACAAATACGCACACAACATAGAGATTTTCGTACTTGCACGATGAAAGAAAACCAAGGATTGTTCATGCACGCAATAAACATACTCGTATAGCACATTGCCCTCTGAAAGCAAGCTATTCTGTACAATACGAACCATTACACCCGTTTTGTGTGTGACAGAGTTTGTAATTTTCAAATTTGAAAAAAAAATTATGTTTCGTACAATTTTTTCTTAAATTTTTAAATTTAAAATGAATAACAAAAATAGTTTGGGAAAAAACTTGAATTTTTTTCATTTAAATGCCACTAAAAATGCATATGTAGGAGCGTTTGTCACATACGTAATGCCAAAATAAAATGTCAATTTTAAAGCATAGAGAGATCTAATTACAAATGAGCATTGAGGTAGTCTCACTTGTCTAAATTTTCAACCAGGCGCACATGCGAACGAACAACACTCAAAGAAACCACACAACATTGAAATATAAAAACGTCGTTTGTGCGCACGTCATAACCAAAAATGACGAAAGCAATACACTCATATTGTTCATTCATCGTCACAAACTACTCAAAACACACTTCCCAGTCATGCGACGAACACAGCAGATGTGTTGTATATGCCGACTTATACGCAGTTGTTGTTAATATAGCAAAGCGGTAGTCATACAACAAACAACGACGGAACAACGAATATAACACATGCATGCATATAGTAATGTCGTCTTTTTTACACTGGCACTCAACAAGCATATAAATTTGCGCCTGTTTTGATTGTTTCTCTTTTTGAGTAATTCAAGTGCGCCTGGTAGAATTGGTTCAGCTTTTAGCAGAACAGTGCTACGGATTGAAATACGAACGTGCTTGAGAAAAGGAGAAACAAATGATTATTTCATATTGTACACGAAACAGATGTCTTTTTTAAAGTTTTTATTTCATTTTATTTCATTTGGTTTTGCTATTTATATGGGGAATTTTAAATCGTATTCAATCACATAAAAAATGTTAAGGTTTTTATAGATATTTAATAGATACATTTACCAAATGAAAATCTAAAATATCATTTTTCACAAACCTTCAAAACTTCTACGACTTCGGCAATAACTGGCACAGAAGTAAGAACTGACTTCCACGGTGTTAATGGTAAATTCTTACTTGGTTCGATTTGTCCCATTTTAGTTTTCAAATAATCTCGCCCTCTTTTGAAATAAATGGATGTGATCCGAGATCATTATAACAAATGAGTGACTGTAAAAGAGTTCAACTATTACTTTCAGTCGTTTTTGTATTTTGTTAACCAAATGAAGGAAAGAACGCTCCAAAAGTAGTAAACAATTGGCCACGAAAAATGTGATAAAATTAATCCAGATATGAATCGTTGCGGCGAAACAGTAGCTCTTATTTTTCTCCAAATAATACTGCAACATGAAGTTTTTTTCACACGGTTTATTTGTTGTAATACAACAAATAAACTATTCATAAAAAACTTTATGTTGCAGTATTATTTGGAGAAAAATAAGAGCTACTCTTTCGCCGCAACGATTCATATATAAAAAGATAAAAGTATTCAAATTCGAAAAATCGAATATTTCTGAAACTATTATTAAATTCAAATGAATACAATTCTCAGTTGTAATACGTGCGAACCACCGAACACAAATACTGCGAGTCTTCCTTCTTTCTTTGGAACCCATGCGACTAAGATACAACTGAGTGCTGGGAATATTGGACCACTCGCAAATCCCATCAAGATTCGAAGCATAATTAGAATTTTAAATCCACCTAAAATATTTATGCGTTTCGGTATGTGTCTTCTTAACATCAATTTTAGTTTTAATAACAAACCATGTTCAACTGCAAATGGAGTCACAGCAGTCACAATAATCATTATTAAGATTCCAAGTGATAGTGACCACTTTCCTCCAAATTTTTCCGCAAATAAGGCCCCGGATATGAGTTCCAATATAGCCAATATAAAATGATGATAAAATCCACCCTTGCTGTTCTTGTGGCCAGTCATATTTTGGAGCATCCTTTCAAATAAAAGAAAAGATGAAACAAGATTTCATAAAGTTTTTTTTTTCAAGATTTTTTTTTATGATATTGGAATAAGATGAAACAAAATTTGTTATTTGAACGAAAATCATATTACTTTTGAATGACTGATAGTATCGGTTAAAGATATACTATCTGCTGATTGATTTCTGTTTCCAGTGTTATTCGGTGGTATTACCATTTCAGTGATTGCAACCGATAAACAAGATCGCATCATAAGTGAAACACAAAGAGCTAGAAATATATGATGTTTATTAACTTCCAAAAATTCTTATATAAAAAATATATTTTACAATTTTTTACTTACAAATAAAATAAACCAAATTGCTGCAACCAGACTCCATCAATAAAATACCACCGGCCAACTGAAATTTGCTAGAATTACACCGGACACATAAAATGAAATCAAAAATGACATCAAAATGAAGTCAAAATGAAGTCAAAAAAGACAGCATTTTGGTCAAGGACAAATCCTTTACTTGAATTTTTTCGCTACACACTTGTGATCTACCGAGCACAAATGCCATGACAAATGCCGCCAATTTTCCTCTCTCTCTCTTTCTCTGGAATCCAAGCCGATAGTAGAACACTGACCGATGGATAAAGAGAGCCATTAGCGGCACCCATCACAACACGTAAAATTATTATTACAACAAGGCCACCTGATGAGAAAAATGCCTGCTTCTATGCCAATTTTATATTTGTAGTATTTCACCTACCATAATGAACACCGATTGGTGTAGCCGCATTGCAATTTGTTGCAACTAAGATGCCTAAGCCGAGTGTCCATTTTCCTCCAAAATGGATGTGCGTGAGTAAATACCCAACAAAAAACGATGATAATATATAACCTTGCTCTTCTTGCGACCAGTCATATCTTATGTCATTCTAATGATAATTTTTTTTCATATAGATAAGTTGATAGTATTTTCACAGGTTGTATGAAGTGATTGCATAATGGAATATTTACTTGAATGTTTGATTATTAGAGAAAAATGCATATTTTACCATTTCCAAAGTATTTTCACGTTGGATTGATGGCGTTCCATTTGAATGGATGAAGGATTCATTCCTTTGATCTGTTTTATTCATTGAAACAACCATTTCGGTGATTGTGACTGACAAACATCCTCGCATCAAGAATGAGACTACGATCCCTAAAAACCCCATTATACCAACCAAAACACGTTGTGGTATTGGTGAACCTAACAGTTTCAAATCAATAAGATTATATTGTTAGATTTGTTGCCAAACAAATTTAAGTTTGCTTTCAAACCAAGTACCTCATTTTTCTCATAGCCCAAAAAGTAAATAAAATCACTATTTTGGTATTCACAATGTTTATCAATAGTAGAAATAATACTTAAATTGCCACTTACATGTTGATTGTTTTGAGTTATCCATCTTCCTTCATTCAATTGATTTATCTATTCGTGAATACATATTTCAATTTTGTTAGACTATCACACCAATTAATCATTTATCTTATCAAACAATAAGCATTATCAAAAAAGTGATGTTTTCATTCCAATATATATGTTTTTATTCTTTTTTGATATACGGCAATTTAAATGACATGTGTTTATATAACCGTGAATTTTATTATGTCTGGATGAGTATGTGTGATTTTTTTTACCACGTTTAGATACGTGCATTGAGCTAGGCATTTGAGAGTGTTATTTTTCGTGCTCATAGTTCTTCATTCAATCAATAAATAGCTTTTGGACACAAAAGTTCATACCAAAGTGAAAGAAAGAATTATAAAGAAGTTCGAATTAAGTGTTTGAGTGTTTGATCATTATTATTAATAGACAAGAATCAACATATAATTTATTCATTTTTTTGACGATATCATTCGATTTTTTCAGTCCAGTGAGCCCATTTTTTGATGATCTCGTATAATAGTAGACCAGGACTCTTTGTTGACTTCAACTGACGTTGACCGTAGAGTCTGAAATCGGGACTCAATTTTTCCAACATAACTCCAAATTTAATTAGTTTTTGTGCTTCATATATCTGTAATTTTGGCGGCTCCTCTTCGTCAAAAGATCCAATGAACGCAATGCAAATGCTTCCTACATTGTAACCTTTTGTATGTGCACCCTGGTTATCCCATCCACGACCGACATAAATGGCACCATCACCACCAACCAAGAAATTGTAACCAATGTCATCCCACTCATTTTCATCAATGTGATATTTTTGAATCGCTCTAACTTCATCACTGCATGATTCCTGTCATAAAAGTAAATCAAAAACATTTTTAGTAGTTCATACACATCCTATGGTGGTTATATACCTGTGTTGTACAACTTTTGGTGAACGTATGTGCGATGATTGCACGTTGTACGGGCAAGTGAAGTGGTTCTAGCTTATGTTTTGGTGGCAGCGCTTCCCAATCACTTCTATTAACGAATCGTAATGGCTCAGTTATATTTGGGAGCAAATCTGAACCTAGAATAATGCAAAGAAATATTATAATAGAAATGAAAATATCGTTGACCATCTTCGAACAAAGTTAGTATAAATGCTGTTGAAAACATCCACCAATCTTTTCTTGAAAAAAGTTATATCATTTATAAGTCATGCTTAGCAGAAGAAAACACATTGAAAATAATATATTTCTGATTTGAAAGAAACTATAGTTTAGAGGGAGACAATTCATGAGCCTGGCACCAAGGAAATCAAAAGCCGTTTTCAACATTTTAAACATACTTACTTGACGAATGTTCGTGGTGTCCACTGCTACTAGGCTGCAATATTATTATTATTATTGCCAACAATGAACAAGCTATAACTCCACCTATAACTGCACGCTTCAACGTCCGCTTTTTGGTCCACTTTGATTTCTTTTGCAGTTCACACGGATTTTCCTTATCGTTTGGGAAGTCTAATGGAAAATTAATGTTAATGTACAATAATGTTCATTTATTGCCAATAAATTATTGAATTTCAAAAATGGTGACGAAAAGAAACAAGTTCGAATAATTGAAAAAATGTGTCAATCAATCATATTGTTCGTGTTAGTGTTATTCAATTAAAAAATTGACTTTACACTTTTGATGTGTGGATATGTCTTCGTTGCTATTGTTTATGTATCCTAGGTTATAGTTTTCGTATTGTTTCGTTCGTGGTTCCGTCTCATTCCATTTGTTTTTATCATAAACAAATTGCTTTATTGTTACTGGACCCTGGTAAAATGTTTTATTTCCGAATGTGATATCGGATGAGTTTTGCACAGCAATGCTTCCGATGTTTGGCTTGGCATCATTATTGGTGCACAGAATACTCGATTGGCACAAATTTGGAGAATCGACATTTTTATTAGCCAACGCTATCGCGCTAGAAGAAAGACATTGATTTTTATCGTTACAATTTATCACTTCTTCAATATCTGAATCTGAATAGACTTCACTAGAATCATTTTCATTCGTTGAACAATCATCAAAGTCACTATTTCTTTTCTCTAAAATCGTTGCTGCTGAATTAGTGTTGATGAGCTTCCGAATCGCATCATCGATTTGAATGGTGGGTGTCCGATTTGATTTCAATGTCGGTGTTGTCGCTATTGCACTTTCATCATCTTTTCTATTATCAATATTGACAGTTGATTCAGCAGCACCTAAGACTATACCGGACATTTTATTTTACATCAAAAGCGATTCTTTTGCTCATTCACTTAATTAAGTGGAAAAATACACGGTTACCACTTGAAAAAATATTCTGGAAATATATAAATAATAATAACACGAATTATCTATATAATTTCACTCCAGAAAATGTTCACAGCAAGCTTTCATATATTTCCTTCCACAAAACCAATCATTAACTGAATGTTTTTGTCTAGCAATACAAGGTGAATGGTCTGATCAATTAGTCATATTACAAGAAATAATATTTATTTACGACGAAAATGTCTGTATTTCGAACAATTGACTTTATCTCAAGAATAAGAAGATAAATGAAGTATTTTTGATAAGAAAGTGGGTGTGTCTGTGTTGGAAGTTATTTACTTACATACGCAGATAAGTCACTGAAATTATTCATGAAATGAAACTAAACAAAAGTACAATGAATGTCTGAATGTATTGAGTGCGTGTTGCTTTATTGAGAGTCTGAATCTGAATGAATGAATGTGAATAAAATATGGATGAACTGAAAATTAATATCTTTGCATGACACCAGAGGGATGACAGCCAAATGTAAATGAACACGATTGATAATATTAAACCGTTAATTTTAACAGTCTGTCAGTATGATTTTTTTTCTCATTTATTGAGCAATATTTAAAAAATGAAATGACCAAAGCCATCAATAATTATTCCACGATTTTCGTTTTATTATCTTTGTACTCTTCCTTATATTTGGTGAATTCAACACATTCAGGTGATTTGAATTCTTTCGGTTCGTTCCACGGTTGAACTTTAGCAGACGCCCAAATCGTATAAATTACAGTTTTTATCATTGCCATGGAAAATGAAATCCAGAAAAAAAATCTCCATTGCTCAAGAGTTGACTGAAAATAAAAGCAATTATTCCAATGAATGGCAAAGTGATGAAACAAGTCTCATACATCAGGTGTAAAAATTCCAATATGTTGAGTCGCAAGCTACAGTAATAGGTGCCCATAAATCCAAAGGCCAATGTAAACCAAGTGACTGCAAGCATCTTATTGGAAGTATAAATTAAAACGTAAGGATTCGTATCTAACTTCATATCTATCACACATGCAATTGTTTGGACAGTGAAAGCTGTTGTATCTTAAAGAGCGTCAAAAAATCTACTAAATTCGATCTTTCAAAGTGAAAACAATTCTGCACACACAAGTTTTTTATTGCGATTAAAAAGTCGAATTACGTTCCAACAAAACAGCATTTGCGGGAAGCAATGCTTTTGTACTTTAATCAAAAGAAAAGTGCTGCTGAATGTCATCGTTTGTTGTCAGAAACGTATCTCAAATATTCAATTTCAATAAGTGTATGTAAAAAATGGTTTAGAAGATTCAGAAGTGGTGATTTTGACACGGAAGACAAAGAGCGTCCAGGCCAGCCGAAAAAATTTGAAGATGAAGAATTGGAATTGTTACTCGATGAAGATCCATGCCAAACGCAAGAAGAACTCGCTAAATCATTGGGAGTTACTCAAGCAACCATTTCACAACGTTTAAAAGCATTAGGGTTCATCCAAAAATTTGGAAACTGGTTGCCGCACGAATTGAAACCGAGAGATGTTGAAAGGCGTTTTACCATCTGTGAAATGCTGCTCGCAAGACAAAAAAGCAAGTCATTTTTGGATCGAATTGTTACGGGCGATGAAAAGTGGATCCACTACGATAACCCAAAGCGAAAAAAATCATACGTTCGACGCGGCGAACCAGGACCATCGCAATCAAAGCAAGATATTCATTGCCGGAAGGTAATGCTCTGTGTTTGGTGGGATCAAAAGGGTATCGTGTATTATGAGCTGCTGAAACCGGGTGAAACAGTCACAGGAGATCGCTATCGACTACAACTGATGCGATTGAAGCGAGCATTGGACAAAGATCGGAAAGAATGGAGGGGAAAACACAACCGGTTAATTCTTCAACATGACAATGCTCGGCCACATATTTCAAATGTCATCAAACAATACTTGTCGACAATAGGATGGGAAGTTCTACCCCACCCGCCGTATTCACCAGAGATTGCTCCTTCTGATTACTACTTGTTTCGAACGATGCAAAACGAATTGGCAGACAAACGCTTCACTTCTTCGGAGGAAATCGCAAATTGGGTCGGTTCGTGGTTTCGTTCAAAACAACAACCATTCTTTTGGCACGGAATCCATGAATTGCCTGGAAAATGGGAAAAAGTAGTGGCTAGCGATGGACAATACTTTGAATAAAAAAATGTGTACCATCCTCTTGAAATAAATGCCCAATTTCAGTGAAAAATCCTTACGTTTTAATTTATACTTCCAATATTATATCCCGCATAAGACCCAGCGACGATACAAAGATAAGAAATTGCGCCAGCTGCAAATAGAATATTCATTACTGGTTATCAAATTAAAAATAATTTTTTTAATGAAATATATTAGTAAATAACTCTTACAGAAACAAGCGAATACTTTTCTTGCTTGAGTTGTAGTAAAATACCCTCTGGAAATGAAGCCAGCATCCTTCGTTGACAAGCCCAAAATTGCTTACAGATACGATAACCCAAATTGCCGCAATGAAACTCCAGCAGTAAAATACAAAATGCTAGGAAAAATGTGATAAAATTAATCCTGTCCCATAAAATGGAATAAGATACGTATCCAATCTAGAAAGTTGTGAGTAAATTATATAATATTTTTTCTCTTCATTTATCATAAAATTATGCGGTTTACGCATTTGACCTCCGCCAAGTACAAAGCTTGCTTTTCCACTTTCGGAAGGCGGAATCCAAGCCGACAACAAAACGCTGATAGCAGGAAACATAGGTCCACATCCAAGCCCTACCAACGCTTGCAGTATTATCAAAGTTTTGATGCCATCTGATATAACAGATATAACGTAAATATACAGTTTTAAACGTAGTCAAAGTGCAAAAATTTCATCAAATAAATTTTGAAAATAGCGTCCAGTTTTTGTAAACCCACCATGTTCAACTCCAATTGGAATCAATGCATTACTTATTATTACAAGTAATATTCCCAAACACAACGTCCATTTTCCACTGAACTTTTCAGCATAAATTGCACCAGGAATTTGTGAGACGAAATAGCCAACACAATACGATGATAAGATCCAACTTTGTTGTTCTTGCAACCAATAATATCTCGTATGACGCTCTGAGCAGTCGCAACAATTTCAATCAAAGTATATTATAGAGACACTCTATTAGAGAGAAAATCACGTGAGAATGATTGGATAGTAATGTACATACCGTTTTGATGCGATGCTACTTTGAGCCGACTGGTTGTCAATTAGGCAAATGGATTCATTTCGTTTTTACTTTTTCGCCCACACGTAGTGTGAAGGGAAAAGTCTTGTAAGGGGGCCTAAAAATAAAAATTCTCAAAATGGTCGGAGATAACCTTTTCTGGGTTGGGGATAAAAAATTAATCGATTTGAGACCAGGTTGTTGTGGGTCTGTTCCACGTTGTATGTTGTACGTGACCGTTTTTGTTCACCCATTATCTCTTTTATCGTGATAGTTTTTTAAAATCTGATTTTATAGGATGGTTTGGAATATTGAGGAATTGAGACCATTAGATTTTGGACCAAATTGGTCCACTCCGTCGTGGTCTTATAGTGCATGAAATTTTTATTTTTGAAAAATTTGTATGGGAGATGTCAAAATTTGTTAATTTTATGGTCAAATTTGGATTCCTCGACCCAAAATTAGGGGGGTTAGGTATCTTTGATGTTGGCCATCATGATCTTCCATGATTCAACACGGTTATTTTACCAATTTTCAGCCTATTTTTGATCTTTTGACCAATAAACATGATAATTTTGGCCAACCTCAAACCGTGTTAAATGATGTTAGATCATAGTCCAACACCATTTTACACGGTTATTGATGTCGTATATCATGGTCTATCATGATCTAACATTATTTAACACGGTCTATCATGGTCTAACACCATTTAACATGATTATTGAGGTCGGTTAAACGTCTGCCGTGAATTGAATCGTATATTTATCTCATGATGTACACGGCGGAAAAGTTCGTCTGAGCCAGTGGAAAATTATTCAGAGAAAGCAAATGTTTGTAGCCATTTGTTCAAAGAAAAAAATTGTTATATGTCAACATCATATAAATACCCAGGCTGCACTGTGCCAGGAGAAGAAAAGAATGAAGGTCAAATGTACGACTTTTCGACAATATTGAACGATATTGGACCGATTCATTTGAACACACATTTTATGTATATAAAATTCGTGCAAACGAAAGTCTTTATAATGCAATGGATTCCCTTCGAATCGGTAGAAATAAGTATGAGCAAAATCAAGATAGTTGAACTGGAGCGAATAGATAAGTGTATCGAATATTTCGCTCATCAAAAAGAAATATTCGCTACAAAAAAAAATGCCTGAATATATCGTTAGTGCAATGGGTTGGAGTTTCGATACAAATGCTCATAGGTTTAGACCAAAAGATAACTTGTATTTTGAAAATAAATATTATAACGAAACATTGACATCTATTTCAAACAAAATTCCATATACCAATATCGTTTGAAATTTCATATTTTTAAATGTTTTTATTATTCATTTTTATTTATTTATTAAATTGTATTTAGTGCAGAAAATTGAACATCACGTGCACGAAAATCCTCGAATGAGCAAGAAAGTGTTTGGCATCTCAGAGAAGAGTATTTACAACATACTTCATGAAAAATTGCACATGAGAAAGGTTTGCTCGCGATGGATTCCAAGAACGTTGAACAAATCACAAAAAGAAGAACGAATTGCTGCTGCACGTGAGTTTCTCGAGTTGTTGGAATGGAATGAAACGGACACATTTGAGCGAATAGTGACTGGCGACAAAAATTGGATCCACTACTATGATCCAGAGCTCAAATCACAGACGATGGAATGGCACAAACGTGGTGAACCAGCATCGAAAGTGCCACGCAAACAAATTGCCACAAACAAGGTAATGGCCTCTTTATTCTGGGATGCCAAAGGACACCACAGTCACGGGCTATTATTATGCACGACAAATGTATAGATTGCGTAAAGCGATCAGAGAAAAGCGTCCTGGTTTGCTACCTCTTAAAGTTCTTCTTTTGCATGACAATCGTCCTAGCGCAGTGTAGTATTTTAGTACTGGTGGCACCATCACATTTACATTACTTTTGGCAACACTGTTATTAGTGTTTTGAAATTTCATGAAATGTGACATTAATGTTTGTTGATATGAACCGTGTTTGAGTTTTTGAAATTCTAATTTATTATTGTGAGTTTTTATATGTATTTTATTATTATGATATATGTGAAAAAAATGTGTGAAAACATATGTAAGTGTTGAAAATTTCAAAAAAACAAGTGTAAATTTCTTGAATTGAATTGGTAAAATTTCTTATTATTTACAAGGTGCGTTGTTCTTTAAGGAGTCAGTCAAAAATATATTCCTTTTTTTATTATTTCATTAAGCGTTATTAAGTTCAATATTTTTAAAATATATTATTGAGTTTTCCTCAGAATTATAGAAAGTTAGCTATCCGTTCTGTCGAATACGGTCGAGTAAATAAATACACTTGTGCCACCGCTAGCACATTTTTGTTCCAGTCGTAACACATTTACACACTCACATTGCACCGCTCAGAGATCCTCATAACAAACACATGTAGTAAAAAGAAATATATTTTTGACTGACTCCTTAAAGAACAACGCACCTTGTAAATAATAAGAAATTTTACAAATTCAATTCAAGAAATTTAAACTAATTTTTTTGAAATTTTCAATACTTACATATGTTTTCACACATTTTTTTCACTGTTATTTTATCATAATAATAAAATATCACGGGGGACGGCAGTCCCCCAAGTGACGCAATACCCCCATACATATGAAATATGTATATTTTGCGTCACTCTATATATACGTTAAAGAAATGAAAATCGATACCGCTGACTTTTGTAAAGGGGTTTTTGCATATTTTAGTAGTGCTCGGGCACCAAATTAAGAATCCGCAAAAAAAATTAAAAAAATTCAAAATTTGGCCGCCAGGTGACATTTTGAAAGAATCGCTGAAAATTCCTTTTTCTCAATTTTTGACCACCAACCTGCTTTTTTCGAATTTATTTTTTTACATTTTCGGAATCTAGGGACTGCGTAGATAATGTTAAAAAAAAATATCATAACGATCGCTTGAAAAGTGGATTAAATATGGTCATTTTACCAA